CGCGGCTGACACAGAATAGCGTACGCTGCTTGCGTTCAGCGGATATTCTCCAAAATGGCACTACGGTGATGCGGAGAGCAACAGAGGAGACGAATTGTTGAATAAAGTCTTTTTGTTTTCTTCGCGTACAAAAAGTATTCTCGTCACTTCATAACGTTACGGTTGAACCACTGATGGCAGATGGACTATTCTGACGATGTCTTTCATACTTTTCTGGACCTTGACAGTGTAATTTACTTGGCAGTCAATTGGACAGTCACAAGCCTCCCGGTTTTCATCCAAAATAACTTAAATTGTGTTCCGAAGACGAACGAAGCTTTTACGGGTTTGGAACGACATGGGGGTAAGTGATTAATGACAATTTTCATTTTGGGGTGGAGTATCCCTTTAACTGTTTATTTTTTGTGAATATTTTGAATTTAAAACATGTCACTTTGTAAGGAGTTCTTACATATATCAAACAGCTATTAACATAAAGACACTTACTGGATGAATGTATCTCCTTTTACATTTGGACCAACCACCTCCATGGAGCTTGTATAGATCAAATACTGAATACCGATTTCCACACATGCGTTTATTACATTCTCCGTCCCTGATGGAGAACAACATCCAAAAAAAATAATATTAAAAACACAAGGCAAACAGCTACAGGCTGAAGAAAACAGGAACGCTACTAAAAACAAAAGAAAGACTTAAAACAAAGCTTTAACTGACATTAATGAGAATCATTAAGCTTGAAACTGAAGTATCAGATATCAAGTGATAAGTGGAAAAACAAAGGTAACCAGATGTGCATTGGCTTTTTTACTATGCAGATCATTCAGTGGTATTTAAAGAGAAGATTTCTAGAGAAGTAAGGTGGAGTGCAAATGTGAGCACAAAGGAAAGAATGATATGATAGGAGAGGATCCAAAGTAAATGAAAATTCCAGTACAAAAACACATTCATCATCTCTTGCTCTTGTTTTCATCTGTATGCCATGGGTTTGTCTGTATCTACTAATGCTATAATGACACAGGCCTCAAGACATGTTAGGAACCCTTAACCAGTAAGGTCTACCACAAACTTTAAACTAACATTAAAAACATGCTGATGAATAAGTGTAAAACAATGAAAGGGATGAGAGCGATCTGAACACATAAATAAATAATCATATCTGTGGTAATATACAGTAGATGTTTTTACGCATGCAGGTGGTGATGTGTTGACCTTTTTGATGACACTGCATGTGCTCTATTTCTCATAAAGCCACATGATCCGTCAAGGCTTGCAGGAGATTTTATTGTACAATAGCTGTGGACTATGGTTAAAAACAACATATTTTTGATCTTATTATCCTCACTTCATTACATGCAGGAAGAGTAAGATGAGAATTCCCGCCTTCTTTGAGAGAAAATGATGCATTTCCAGACCAAACAGACCGTAAAGCTTTAAGGTTACTGGAAATGTCACCAAAGGAAAACTGTGGGAGAAACCATAACATACAAAACACCAACTAACATTTACTCTAACAATAAAAAACCCACTACCGTTTGAGGTCAGTAAGATGTTTTTAAAAGAAATTCATACTATTTTTTCCCCAAAAAATGCAGAACTTTGAACTTTATCAAAGAATTCTGAAAAAAAAATCACGATGTCAATTAAACATTGATAATAATAAGAAATTTCTTGAGCAGAAAATCATATTAGAATGATTTCTGAAGAATCATGTGACACTGAAGACTGGAGTAATGATGCTGAAAATTCAGCTTTGATCACAGGAATAAATTACATCTCATAATATATTAAAATAGAAAACAGTTTTTATTTTTATTGTAATTATAATTCACAATATTACAGTTTTTACTGCATTTTTGATCACATATATACAGCCTTGGTGAGCATAAGAGACTTCCCAAACTGTTGAACGGTAGTGTATTTTTAATCTTATAGTAATCTCCAGTCTATCCAATCTCCAATCTCATACTCTGTATTTCAAAGTTTATTTCCTAAACCGTAATCTGAAGCAACTCCAAAACCCTTTCAAAGTGCAAAACACTGACATCTCTTCTACAAAGTCATTGCTATCTTATTCTTCACTCACCTTGTACATTGACAGCATAGATGGCCTTCTCAGGGACTTTATACCACACATCAACCAAACTAGCTGTGTGGAAAACCAGGTCTGCTCCCTGAAAGGCATCACGCACACTCCCATAGTCTGTTATATCTCCCGGTACCGCCACCACCTTCACATTCTCTGCGAATAAAAGAGAAAGATACAGTACATTGTTAAAAGCACATTGTTAAGAGTGCTGATATGCAGGCGTATCTATATAAAGGGTTTTTATGTATAATAAGGTAGTTGTCATGCAAACAGACAGGCAGCTGAGAACTGATGTGACTACCAGTACATATAATAAAGCTGTTATATAATGAAAAGATTTCAATAGTAGTCGAGTCTACTGACAAACATCTGCATTCCTTGTAGCACAACAAAGTGTGGATGAGCTTTATGTATTCCAGTGAATGAGGGTGTAACCAAGGTCACTTTGAACAGCATCCTGTTATCCTGTATCTACGATACACCTTTGAAGCTTCCTGATATAATTTCAAGGATCATAAGTGATATTCTTGATTACAATGACACAATTATCTAAAACAGGAAACAAACAATAAACTCCATCTACTTGGTGGAAGCAACACCCTCGTTTTGGTAAACAAAATGCACTGCTCTCATTCTCACTAGCTAGATATTTTTCGCACAATGAACACGGTCATTCAAGACTGCTCTGCAAAGAACTGCTGTGGCATCTTTCTGATCTCTGAAGTTTCCAGTTGCTTTTGGACATAGGCATTTAACAACTCCACAGAATTACAGGTTTTAAACCACTACAAAAGACAAACCATAATTACTGTGAGCCGCTATCAGCTGCTGTGTGCATTGCAGATGTTCAAATAAACACGTCTCCAGGATGCCTCACATCTGTGTGATGGTTAATTAACTTAGCTTTATAATCGTAATAAATAAAGTCTGCCTATGAACAAAGCTTTCCAAGTAGTAACACAAAATCAGTCACATACAAAAATCACTTACTAGCTCACTATGCAAGTAGGTCAATGTTCGCTTCTGATAAAAAATGTTATCTAACCTCTTTCTGTAGCCATTTGGACTTTGATGACCACATGCTAAGCTGCTGTCTGTTTCAAAGATCTTTGTGGAAGTAAAGTGAACTTTCCCCCATTAGACCTTGGGATAAAAACTAGCAATATATGTGAGGACTAGAATACATTAGGGCAGGACAATGGATACTCGTTGTATGAGACCCACTAGATAAAAGGATCGAAAAACTCTGGCTAATAAAAAACATTTGGCACACAAATTAGAACCAGATAACCGAATTCAAAGTCCAACTTCCCTCGTGCATCTATTCCTCTGGCTGACGTTGCATAATGATATAGTGCAAAAGGACATTGTGCTTCAGCTAAGCGCTACATAACAGCTAAAAAATGAGAGATCAGTTTCTCCATAATAATGTGATCGATGAGGGTTGGTGAATATGATCCCAAAATCCCATTGTACGGAGCAGGACATCAGCCGGATGGAGTATCCTGGTGGTGCAAAGTGAGAGGAGGAGACTGGACTGAATGGAAATGACTGGTGTGGCCTGACCTTACCAACTGAACAAAACCCGAATATACACAAAGCCAAGGTTATGAATGAACGTTTCCATTTCCTCTGTCTTTTCAATGCTCTTTCCCGTTATTGGAGTCAAAAAAACAACAACAGATGTTTCCCCTGGGCACTTACAGACACTACACCCTACACTGTGAACATCACGAATGCAGACAAATTCTCAGGAACTAGTTAATAAAACAGAGTGTTTCTTTATTAATGATGGGCACTTTTGTATGGAAGCCCGATAAAAACTCGCAATTCGGACTTTTTTTTCTCGCAATTCTGACTTTTTTTTCCTCGCAATTCTTACTTTTTTTCTCAGAATTGTGAGATATAAACTCGCAATTGCGAGTTATAAAGTCAGAATTGCGTTATATAAACTCGCAATTGCGAGTTAAAGTCCAATTTTTTGGGGGGGCGGGGCTGATATGTTCTCAGAATTGCGAGTTTATATCACGCAATTCTGAGAAAAAAAATCAGAATTGTGAGATAAAAAGTCGCAATTACCTCTTTTATTTTTTATTCAGTGGCGGAAACGGGCTTCCATACGTTTGTGTCTAACCCCAACTTGGAAAATTTCCCCCATGCCTCCATGAAAAGTGTGATAATCTAAAGAAAGAATACACAAACAATATCTTTATTTCTGACGTATAAATGAGAGATTTCTCAAAGTTTCTAAACATATTCAACGTCTATAGTTTTTGTGGCGTTATTTACAACACAACCACCAAGGCGTCAACAGTGTCATTCTGAGAAATTACAAGAGCATCTCGACATGAAATATGATGTATGAAAATAAAGAATGATCCATGTAAATATTGTGAATATACTATTCTATAAGCCTATATGTAATTTCCAGTCAAAATTCAAAAAAAATCAGAATTGTGAGATAAAAAGTCGCAATTACCTCTTTTATTTTTTATTCAGTGGCGGAAACGGGCTTCCATACGTTTGTGTCTAACCCCAACTTGGAAAATTTCCCCCATGCCTCCATGAAAAGTGTGATAATCTAAAGAAAGAATACACAAACAATATCTTTATTTCTGGCGTATAAATGAGAGATTTCTCAAAGTTTCTAAACATATTCAACGTCTATAGTTTTTGTGGCGTTATCTACAACACAACCACCAAGGCGTCAACAGTGTCATTCTGAGAAATTACAAGAGCATCTCGACATGAAATATGATTTATGAAAATAAAGAATGATCCATGTAAATATTGTGAATATACTATTCTATAAGCCTATATGTAATTTCCAGTCAAAATTCAAAAACACAATTACCAAAAACACAACACAATTTACGATGCAATGGAAATGTTAATTACATTACATGACAAAATAGCATCCTCTGTGATTTATATGTACTTTGGAGATTAAATAAATTAGTCCAAGTGTGAAACTTATTGAAGAAACATATGGTCTGGCATCAAGCTTTTTACAAAAGACGCACGTAGCGTCGTGGTATGCAGGGTAACTACGTAGGCTAAAACACAACCACGAACGTAATGTTCAACAAGAAATCAATTTTAAATCACTGTGGACACTAACAAGCTCGTAATCATTATAATGAAGTTAGTTTCAAGTGTTTCTTACCTGTACTGTGACTTTGTAGACTTGGGTAAACGTTTTTATCGAAAAGCCTTATTTCCTTGATATTTTCTTCCTTCTCCAACAAAACTCTCAACAGGTGCTGCCCGAGAAAACCGCATCCTCCAGTTATCACGCAAGTTAACTTAGATTTCTCATTAGACATATTAATACGCCGTTGAATCCTCTCCTGGTATTGACTGAAGTGTTTATCCGTCAGTGTTTACCGAGCCGTTCAACTAGTTCACTCTGCGAATGCAACGGAAAAGACAAGTCAAGTCCAGCGAATCAACAAATTATGTATAGTTCAACGAGACTAAATGAAGACTCCCCGAAGACACAGGGGGAGTGTGAATGTGGGCTAGGCTGTAAAACTGCCTCTCCTCCAAATCTGCATTATTTATGCCCGCCCATATAGCCTACTGCACGTTAAAATGCTGTCAAAATGTAGTCTACTTTTCTTTAAAAAAATAAAAATAAAATATTTTGCCTATTCACTCAGATTTGAGAATTTATTTAGATTAATCCTTGCATGTGTGAAATATTCAAGTAAATATTTTACCATAGGTTACAGAGACAATAATGGTATTTTTAAAATGATAGATAGATAGATAGATAGATAGACCTATTTAAAATAAAGTAGCCTAGTGAAGTCAAAATGGGAACAAAAACGAGTTCAAGAAATGGTGATCAATTACAGGACCTAAAATACACTTTCTCTTATACACTGCTAAATTTCACCTAAAGTCTCAACCTTTCAGTGATTAAAACCTTGTGTCAACTTCACAAATATTGAGGACTGTCATATGCACAAACCTGAAGCTCATCCATCCCACTGGTGCTAATTTTTTTCCCCCATTTGACTTCTTTTATTAGTGTATTTTTGTGCCTGATCACTCATCCACCATCACATTGTCTACTCAGCACAAACCTCAAATAACCACTTACAAGTCCATAACATGGCATGAAGTCACGCACACCAAGTAAAAATTCATCCTGTGATTCATTCTGATACCGTAATGTTGGTGTTATGTGTTGTGTCTGGACCAATCAATGCAAGAAATTTGAGTCAGCTTTGTTTCAGTATGACTGAAATGTTAAACATATAAGACTGTTTTGACCTGTTTGGGCCAGATAGGACAGCCTTCTGTACTGTAATTTGCTAAATCACAAAGTGTGTGAGTAGTTAAAAATTAACACAATGATCATAACTTTAATCACAAAAACAATCTCCAGTCAAGGATAGGACCATTTAACCCATATCAAATGTAATTTAACCTGTTAAAACAGAACATGTGATAATTCATGGAGAGAGAGGAGTGTGTTAGTTTAAATGTAAAAAAAAAAAAAAACCCTACCAGCACTTTTAAAACTGCTTCTTTTTGCATAATCTTCAACGCTTCATGGGAAAAAACTGTAGATGAAAGCAAATTTAAGCAAGAGGATTTGCAAAACTGTTTAGCAGTTGGGCTATATTACTAAACTGGTTACATCAGGTCAACAGCTCTTAACTTGACTTAAGAGCTGAAACATTATAAACAAAAGAATCTTAAGACTTAATAGGCTATTAGAGATTTTTTTTTCTTAAAAAAAAAAAAAAAGCTGAAATCAAGGTAAATAGCAGTGTAGTGTAAAAAAACAAACAAAGACAAAGACATGGAAAAAGAATGAGGCAACACTTTCAGGTTGAGAATCTTTCCCAAGAAGCTGAGATGTCAGCTTGGACATTAATATGCATGTAATATATATATAAAAAAGTCCTGTCATTCATTCTGGCATAAGGTACAGGCTTGATGAATTAGTCTGCTCATTTCACATCTAGTTTGAGCTTGTCTTTTTTTATCAAACAAAGCTATACCTCATCATAACTAAGTACACTGTAAAAAAAAAAAAATCAGTGACACTTCCAGCAAAACACCGGCAGATGTGGTTGCCGGAACGTTACCGTAAAAAATATGGTAACAACATTTTAGGTTTTACAGACTTAATTTCACAGAAAAAAAACACTTGTTTCAATAACTGATATAATGTTAATATGCCAACTCTTCTGAATTAATAATATCTGTTTTGTACCATTGTAATACACTGACAACCACCAAAAATAGGTGGTGAACAACAGGATAACTCTCATCACAAACAGCTCTTACACAAGCGGAGGAGTGAATACTAATAATACATAGAACAGGGCTTACCAAACTTTATCCTGGAGGGCCGGTGTCCTGCAGAGTTTAGCTCCAACCCTAATCAAACACACCTGAAGCAGCTAATCAAGGTCTTACTAGGTATACTTGAGACTTCCAGGCTGGTGTGTTGAGGCAAGCTGGAGCTAAACTCTGCAGGACACTGGCCCTCCAGGATCAAGTTTGATGACCCCTATATCAGATGTCAGATATCAAATGTCCCCTATACTGTATGTCATTCATCATAATAACACACAATACTAAAATAATGCGATAAACGTTCATTTAACAACATTAGATGTAGGATTGAACCCTAATGTACACAACTGATGAGAAAAACTAAGAAACATTTCAAATGTTAAAGGGGTCATATGATGCTATTTTAAAGATCATTATTTTGTGTATTTGGTGTAACAGAATATGTTGACATGCTTTAATGTTCAAAAAACACATTATTTTTCAAATACTGTACATTATCATGAAGGGAATGTCAATTTACAAAGACTTGTTCTTTTTCACTTCCACAGACTTTTACTGAAAAATTACATCAAATGTAATTACAGTTATTCACAGTATATAGCACTATTAATAAACAAACCAATTAATAGCTTTTTACAATCATTTTTTACAGTGATACCACTTTCAGCTTACAGGTGGGTGTTCATACAGCACAGCAAGCAGAGATTGAGGGCCATACATGGGAATATAATGTATAATGTATCATTGGAATTTTTATAATTTTAGCTGTTTTTAAGGTTTTAATTCACTAAGCAACAACTTTACAAATGAAAGTAAATCACTAAAGTATTCTTTTACATATAGTATATAGAGAGTTCCACTATGCCCTGATGAACTGCAGTGCTATATGTTTATTTTTGATTCTCCTCTCTTGCATTTCTTGATTTAAATTAAATCAGCTGAATAAATTTATTGTGTTACATTGGTGAAGCGCTGGCAGCATGTCACACGGCTCCAGAAGGTTCCAGAAATCACTTCATGACCGACTATGGGTCAAAGATGTGACACGTTTGTATTAAAAAATGCATTAAAAATGCAATTCATTAATAAAAATGACTTGATTACAATACAGCTATGACAAACCTGTTTTCAATTTCTGAATAACAGTCATTTGAATTTATAATAAGAATAATAATAAGGAATATCTGAGAAAAGTCAGTGTAGCATAATCAACATGCATGTAGCTAAGACTAAAATCTCTCTGTAGGCTATCATTTAAAAAAAAAAAATCAAAGAGTAGGCCCTAATATATAAGCAAAAAAAGGCCTCTAACACTAGTTTGCTCTATTCTTTTTCTATTCTGTTTTCTTTTTATTTATTATATAACAACAAAAAAACCTTGCTACCTGGGGCCCGTTCTTCGTACGTCGCTTATTATATCCGAGATGAAATGTCACATCCAAGATGATATAATCGCGCTAATCAGGATCTGGCTAATTCGGTTCTTCGAACGCAGCTGTTGTTGATGATTAGTATGGCTGGATTGAGTTATCTGAGATAATTGCGCGATCATGGGTTGGTTTAAAAGGGGCTATGTATCGATACTCGAAACCACGATCAGCAATGCAGCGATTGGCTGGCGGCAAGACAGCAACGTAATGACATCATATAATTAAAAAAGACACCTGACGAAAAACTTCGTCTTTTATAAGGAAACAGCCAAGCGAACAAAACTACATAAATGTTATAATAGATAAATGAAATGTGCACTGATTTTATTTTATTTAAAACATTTTTTTACATGATTCCCAATTATTTATATTCACGATTTCTAATATTTGTACAGGCTTTACATTTTTATTTCAATGTAGTAATTAGCAATTCATTTAATTTTATATTTGAACAGATTTGTTACATGACAGCATTAATTAAAGTTTCTTAAGGGCCAAGATCATGTTATCTGCGTCTCTTGCGCCGCATCAAGCCACTCCCATAATAGCTGTCACCACTCAAATTAATGCACGACTCTACATTATCTGTACAGCATGTGTGTAAGACTCGAATACAATTATGAAGTAATAATTTTATGACAAATAAATATTTCAGTGAGTAAAACTGGCTGTGTCTATAGTATTAAAGACTACACAACATTATTATATTATCTTTAAATACATTTTTAAATGATTATTATTTTAAATTATTGTCCCTGGATTAGTAGGGTACTCTTGTAATAAAGTAGCGGTGGTAGCGGACAGATTTTAAGTATCAATTCTGCTTAAAAAGATGCAATCTAATCCGGTTTACATGAAATAAGCCTGCTCCCGAGCAGGTTTAAGCTTACGGACCTGTTGCTATGACAGCAACTCCAGGATGAGCTTCGAAGAACCAAACAATCCAAGATCATGCCAAATCGTCAACAATCAAATCCAGCTAACTGAGTTAGCGACATACGAAGAACGGGCCCCTGGTCCTCTCTCGTCTTTCACTGTCGTCACTCCTCCTTTTATCCTTCCGGAGCTCCT